AGCAATGGGAAAATTGTGAAACGAAGGCATGAATCGTGCATGCCAATTACTATGAATGGTTTATCATCATATCAATCTACATTCTATTTTCAACCGACTTCAAAAATGGAGCAGTTTCTCATTTCGGTTGTATTTTTTTTTATTTTTCAGAACTCTGGTCATTTACTAACCGATTTTAAATATTCTTTTCAGTTTGGGTTTGATTCAGCCCCGATGGAGGCTCAAATTAACTTCTTTGGTAGTGGAATTCAACCCCCGGAGGAACTCCCCAAAATAGAAATGAAAAAAAAAAAGATATGTTTTGTCGATAAAAATGTAATTGTTAGTAGTAATATTTTCTTTTTATCTCGAACAATTGTGTTGTACTGTCTTTAGAATTCGCTTTGTAATCTTTCAACCATCTTAAAGGCGGGTAAATCAACTACAATCCCACCGTCGTTTTGAATGTCAATAGGCATCGTCCAATAAACATCAAAGGGCTAAACAGATTCCGTCTATAAAAAAATATTCATAGTTGTTTTATATTCACAGAGAGTTGTCAAACAATCTGGTGTTAAGATCGTATGGTTCATTCAATTCCATTCACAATTTGTATGCATTAAATTTATTAATAACATTAAAGCAACTTACAACATCTTTTCTTTTTTAACCAATTTTTGCTCCATGCGGATAGTCATTCAAAAACAGTATAATAAGAAATCCGAATAAACTGTATTTTTTTTCAAATTAATATGATTTAATTATATGTATACGAAAAAATAAATAGACTCATATAATTTAAGAAATATATGATTTTAATAAATTTGATAAGAATAAATTGATAACAAATCGAACATTAAAATGAATGAAATGAATTTTTACAGATAGATAAAAAACCTTTAGATGCCGCGGGATTCGAACCCGCGTCTTTAGTTGAGTTTTGCAGAGACTAGAGCAGCAAAAAAAATTTATAAAACCGATCGTTGTTCAACCGTCATTTAGCAAAAGCTACGTCATCAGGAGTCGTGATGGTCGTGGATTATAGGACTTGGACGCACCCAGTTCTCCAGTCTAAATGTCATTCTACGCTAATATAGTTGGGACGCTACTGTTTCACAAATCAATGATTCACACACTCCTCTCCTGTGTACGTTGGACGACTGTTATATAGGCCGCAAATATCAAAACCGTCGCACTTTGCGGAGCTTCGCCGAGGTCATAGGTTGATGAATAGATATTTAACGCCTATTCCTTTCACCCGAGTCAATTGCTGTTTGCATCCGCAGAGTCAATTCGAATATTTTCAAGTACATGAAATGTATTGTGGTGTACAATGCACTCTTTCAGATTTCTTAGACTAACTGTATTATAAGATAATTAAATTTAGATAAGTGTTAACAGTTTGCTAACATAACAAACTTATAAATAAAGAAATTAATATTAAATCTCTATATAATAATTTGTATAAATGTGTAGATATTTAAAAAAATTGATTTTTTCATAATTATGATTATTTATTATATTCAATGCTAGTCTGCACTCAAGGTGAAATTTAAATGTGCGTTTAATAGATAAAATATAGGAAGATTTTTGGCGGTAAATTTGGCGGCTAAATTTGGATAATTTTGGTTAAAATTGGCGGTAAAAAAACGCGAACTAGCGTCTCTAGAACATAGGGCGCACAGGCGAGAGCGCCGCGTTTAGAGAACCAACTGAGCTAAGCTAACCGTTAAATTCATTCAAAATTCTGTCACTTATGCGAAAGAGATAAAAACACGCCAAATATTTGCTATCATTTTAATGAGTATGTGTAATTTTAAAATGAATTACCAAAACGTAAATAAATTATCTATTTAAACCCACTAATGTACACTATTATTATAAATTGTGTGTGTTATTTTAAAATGAATCACCAAATCGTTTTATTCGTGTCGATAAATAAACCTCTAAACTAATGAACAGACTAACAAAGATCGGCCCGAACAGATATTACCACGTCCAATCATCCAATCTTTACAACGGAGCCAATTGAACATCGTAAAAGACGCCTCCAAGGCTTGCGTTCGCGTCAAAATTTCGCATCGCGGTCGTTAACGAGCGCTGTATCCGAACGAGATCATTTTCAATAATGGCCGTTGACATAGGTGCGGCATCAGCGGTCATGGACTCTGGCGTCAGTGCTATGTGGCATTTGCACTACATAGCACGAAATTAACCGTACTCAACCCAGCCATTGCGGTATTGTCGGAGCAACTGCCTACGAACATTATATCTCAGCACTCTTATCTGTGTCCTGGTTTTAGGTTTGTCACGGTCTGGGCTTATTAAGGATATTTTTCATGCCAACATTGGCAAACGGTTAGACGGTTCGCTTTTTCTTAAGTGACTACCAAAATGGACATCTACAATGTCTGGGTGCAGATGCGTTACCAACCTATTTAAAAGTGGGACCCGGTCACTTTACTCAGGAGACAAAAGGCGAAAGTATACTACTTCCACTTCAAGACGGTCTTCAATGAGGCCGTGGTACTTGCCCGGATGAGTCTACCTATTCGTGTAATCCGAAGCTACTGTGTGCTCCTACAGTTATTTATCTTTTACTAGCGACCCGCCCTGGCTTCGCACGGGTGCAATGTATTATACATATAATCCTTCCTCTTGAATCACATTATCTAGTAAAAAAAAACGCATCAAGATCCATTGCGTAGTTTTGAACATCTAAGCATACATAGGGACAGACAGACAGCGGAACGGCTTTGTATTATACTCTATGTAGCGATACCACACCTGAAATAGGTAATTACAAAACGGACTTAACGGCAATAATTTACATTCAGTCAGCCCGTTGAGAAAAATTGTATAAGGTGTATGAAAGTGAATGTTCCTCGTACAAAATTATTAGCTCGAAATGCATTTGAAATATTTATTGTACTTATGATTTGCAGCTCAGCTGTTTGAACTGCTATACTGCAGTATTTGACAGATGTGTTGCTGGTGGAAAAAGTCACCATAACTGCCTTTCGACTTTAAAGTTTGCTTCGTAAAATAAGTCTCATTGGCACTGTCAAAAGCTTGAAAAGTTCACATCTAATATGGTGCCTAAATTTTGCCTTAAATGAATTATTTTAATGATCATATTTTTGTCTTTGACGTATGAAACATATTAGCGACAACTTTTATATCTAGAAAAAAGAAGAAGAAGTTAGTTTCATAATATAACAATATCAAAAGCTCCACTAATACAAGCATTCGTTCATTTTATATTCTGTACTCAGATTTAATTAGTATATAGTGAATGAATTAGTTATTACTAAGACTCCGGCTTCGACTCCGTCTGTCTGACGGAGTCGAAGGCGGAGTCTTAGTAATAATTATTCTTATTAGTCTTCTTAATAATTAGTCTTAGTAATATTAAATTAGTAATAATAATTTCAACTGTCAGAACGACAGGCAGACGCCTGTCGTTCTGACAGTTGAAATTTTCAAAGATGATCTATTTCTGTGGCCGCTTTATCAATTTATTTTATATTTTATTTTACCATTCGTACAGTCTAGGATTTAGAGCAAAAGACCGAAACCTCTTTCAAACTTGCCGTTGAGTTTTGATCCCGTGAAATAATGTCATGACTCCAAGTCTCACTTAAATGAAAATAACAAAAGAAACATCATAATGTATATCCGTTTTCGTTTCCTCGATATGTATAGTCGATAACGGAGAACGAATCACGATAATTTTTTCCATAGGAATAAAATATACTACGTGGTCTTTGGCAAAATACGGCTTTTATTGTAGTAATTGTTAAACATACTCCCTTGCAACCTTCACTCTCAAAATTAAAGAAATTACTCTCAAGGCGAAGAGGTTCATTAAATGTAAAGCAATAATACGATTCTCAAATGAAACACGTTAACTCAATTGTAAAATATAATCTTCCCACACTATTATAACGCATTATTCTACTGATGTTAATAGAAATAGAGATACAATAATGAAATAAATAAAAAATTATCGATTCATTGTCGTACAGTTTAAGTTTTTTTTTTTTTTTTTTTTTATGCTAAATGTTGCCAAACGAGCAGACGGGTCACCTGATGTTAAGTGAATACCGCCGCCCATGGACATCTGCTACACCCGAGGGTTACAGATGCATTGACAACCTTTTGAAAATTGGGCTCCGGCTACCTCACTCACCAGACGAAACGCGAAAGTATTTGTCATACTTCCACTTTACACGCTGGTCTTCTGTGAGGTCGTGGTACTAACCCGGACGGGCCTGCCCATTCGTGCAACAGCCGAGGCTGCTGCGTGGCCCTGCCACCGTGAGTACAGTTTAAGTAAATCTTATTTCAATAAATCCTTACGTAAAAATCGATTGCCACTTTAAAGTTTTAATGGAGTTAAAAGTTGCAGCTTTATTAGAATGTTTCGTAAAGTTCAGATACGATATAAAGTTTATCGTAGTTATTATTATTTGTTCAGGAACTCTTGCTCCGTGCTACTGTTAATTCCTACACGATGAATAAAAAACTTCCAGACCCACTCTAGATTAATAATTCTAGTCAACATGACTTCAGGCAGCGCTCCGGAATTTATTACATTAAAACACGGTTAACGTTCATACGGCAACTTTAACATTACAGAGTGAGAGAGCAGTGCTTATAAAATTGAAAGTTAACACACACTTTTCTAAACATTATAATAGCAACGCTAGTTTCGAATTTAGAAGCCTAAATAGCTCGAAGCTTTTAGCGATATACCGTCAATGTATGGTCCGTTTGTGTGATTCGCGCAAATAGGGCACCGCCGGTAATCTAAATGGCTCGAAGCTTTAGGCGGAGATGGGTCGTGCATGGATTCGACCGCCGATCCGGCGCACCGCACACAAGGTGAAGCAACCGCGAAAGGGCAAACCGGAGCAATATAAAACGAGGCACATCCTCGATGAACTGTATTCCGCCAACGACCGAACAACGAGGAGTTAGCCAGCATTCGCTCAGAAATTAATATTTCATCCATAATTATGTCACCCGCTCTGGTAAGCTCGTATCTGAATATTAAAAAATTAAAAAAGAATGAAAATTCTATACAGTTTTGGTTACTTTAAATTTCCTTTCGTTTTTCTGAAAAAATATTCTGTCCATAATTAATAGTTTATCCATAATTATGTCACGTGCACTGGAAAGCAAGTATTTACTCGCGACTATTCTATTACATATTGAAAAAGAGGAAATTTGGGTGCTTTGTATTTCCTTTTTTCTTTTTTAAAGTATTATTATAGTTAGACAAAAATAAAAATCGCATAATTAGTCTATTTATAGACACAATTAATGAGACATGCAAACTAGCTTTTGTAATATTCGTAAGAGCCAAAGCATACGAAAGAGCTTTTAAGATGCGCACGTAATCGTTATTACATTTTTTGCTTAACGCATTTAAGATTCTGACGTGTTCGAGTACACTTAAATATAATTTCACCATTGTTAATAGAATATTGCATAGCTAGAGATTTTAGAGAGTCTGTTACATGTTAATAATGTTTATTACTGCATGATATCATAATTAATCATGTTGCAAATGAAACTGATCATTACCTAAATATTTTTCTTAAAACATAGGTTATATAAATCGTAGCCTGGCCGACTATTTGTAGGTGATAAAACATTTTTACGTTATTCCAGATTGTTATGCTATCGGGGATGATAGTGGCAGCGTCTTGTGGACGCCTGGAACCCCAGTATCTGCCACCTCGTCCAGGCGGTGGATTCGGTGCCGGTGCTGGCAGCGGAGCTGGCGGGGCGGGCAGTGGAGTATTCGGCGGATCCGGCGGATCTGGCGGGGCGGGCGGATCCGGCGGATCGTTCGGCGGATCTTACAGCGGATCCAGCTCGTACGGCGGAAACAGCGGCCCGAACGTCCCCATTCTGAGATACGAGAACGAAAACAATGGAGACGGAACCTACCGCTTCAGGTAAGCGCTGATTGAAATTTGAGTAGTCGTAATTAAATTGGATTTATTCGTAACTCGTCTTTCGCCATTTGTTGCATTTGCAACAAATGGCGAAAGACTTTGTGATTAGTTTAATAAACATCCGCATGGTCTCTGGTCGTGTCTCGTAAATGATATCTACTGTGAAGCACGGAATGTTTCGTTGCTTAATGCCAAATATGTTACATTTAGTGAGGTACTAGAAAATTGCATTCATTCTTAATTAGCTCAGTTCAATAGATACATATGCAAATATTATGTGATTAAGAGTTACGTATAATAATAACAACAATAAGCCTTTATTTCCGGAAATTTATGACAAAAAAAATAAAAATAATATATAAAGTAGAGTTAAACTTTCAGTAGACTTATACTTTTATATTTGTTTATAAAATATCTCTTGTTTCGGTATGCCTTACGGCAAAGGCGTTACGTATAGAGTACACATAATACATCAAAACTTGTTTGTACCAGACTCAGGATTGCGCCTTATAGTTTGATACATATTTGAAAATATGTTAAGTTCGCAAGTGTGCTTTAGAAGGCTGTTACCGACTACTTTAGATATAAAATATATATGTTGTTTTTAAATTGAATGTCAAGTAGAATTATTTATGAAAACAGTTTGTCAACAAAAGTATAAATGTAAAATCTTTCAATGGATACGTCTTTAGAATTTCAGGTTATGTTTAAAATATAGATTGATTGTTTAATAGCATAAACCTTACACCATTAAACCAGGTGGGATCCTCATTCCTTCCATATTATATGCAGAAAATTGTTTTATAGAGATCAAATAGTAGAAAACCAAATGATGTCAAAATTTTAACGTCACCGACATAACAAAACACAAGACATTAGCATGTCAGTGAAGCGTAATTATGAATTTACTAGCTGCTGCCCGCGACTACGTCTGCGTAGAATAGGCAGAAGGCGTAACATTCGGACAAAAGATATACATAAAATATGTATATAAATTATAGCCTAATACACTATAGAATAACACGTATATTCTCATGTATAGACTATATTATTGTAAAGTTTAATTAACATCCATTCAGTAGTTTTTGCGTGAAGATAAACAAACATCCATCGTATGGATGGATGTTTGTTAATCGTAAAAATTTGTTAATACAAACTTTCGCCTTTATAATATTAGTCAGGATATATTAATGATTAAGGACTAGTAAGGATTTCCATATATAATTCCCCAAAAAGAACCTATAGAAGTTTCCACTTGAAAACGTTTGTTGCAGCTACGAGACTGGTAACGGCATATCCGCGCAAGAGAGCGGTGCCCCGCGCGCCCAGGGCCCTGAGGGACCCGCTGTGACGGCCGAGGGTGGATTCTCATACCGCGCTCCCGACGGCCAACAGATATCCCTCTCCTACACCGCCGACGAGAACGGCTTCCACCCAGTTGGATCCCACCTCCCCACTCCACCCCCCATCCCGGAAGAGATCCTCCGCTCGATTGAATTCAACAGACGCAACCCGTCCTCGTAAGTAACATTTACTTTGTCTTCTATTAATAAAACGAACGACGTTACGTGAACATGAGTTTTGCGAAGATGGGCACAAAAAATTATTGCAAGTTTAAAACTCCATCATTCACGTGGCTAATTGTGTAATAACATAATTATTATTATTTCATCAGATTGAATGTTCCAATTTAGTTTTCATTAGAACTCCTACTATGTATTGTAATTTATATACCTATCTAAATTTTTTTGTTGAAATGTATTTAACGAAGTTAATAAGTATACTTACCGAAATTATGTTTATAGAGTTAATTTAGCAAGAAATTTAATAATTCAATTATTACGATGCCCACAGATTCACATTTTTAAAAATCCTTTTTTTCAGTGAAGGTGCGTACAACCCAGGCGCAGGTTCGGGAGGCAACGGCGGCTCCAACGGCTACCACTACTGATCTCATTCCTAACGCCATACTATCAGCAAACGACGAATGAACCGCATGCAAATACTTATCTTTTCATCCCTAACAAAAGAACCTTTCAACCTCCCCCTTACTTAATCTTTTCGCCTTTATTTTACGTACCGAATGGCTTTATTCCCAGCTCTTAATCTATCAGTCCTCTTACTCAACGATCCCGCTTCTAGATATATCCTTCTCAGTTGCTCTGAAATGTACTTTTTAAACATATTCCTCTCCCAGACATTTGTCATAGTGTGAAATGCAATGTAAAAGCGTTTTAGTAAATAACCTTATTAAGAACTTTGATTTTTACCTTTCAAGACAAGGGCTTCATAAATAGTTTTAGATTTAGTAAATGCTTTACACTTAAGCTTGACTTTAGCGGTATGAAACCTTTATTGATGTAGTTAATTCACATCGACCTCACGAACACTGGGACTGTGATACCACGATAAAACTGAGCACGATATTTAGTTTAAGTTCACAATCTATGTTATGAATGTAAATAAGCAAGTGAAATAAAACGTTTATGTACTTAATATGTCATTTTAATGAATTAACCAATTTGCAACTAATTACATTATTCCGAACATAACAGAATATGTTCGGAAGTTTTCAGTTTTATAGGTCAGCTGATTGAGGTCAACGATGTGCATATTCCACTATCTAATCTAATATAATTAATATCTACATAAAAATTTTAATCTACTCTTACCACAGGCTATACGATGATAAGAAGAGTATTTTAAAAAGCAGTAAAACTGTTTGAGCTGAAAAATAAATCTTCTTATTCTTGATATTCTCCTTCTAACTACATATTTGTCTTATATTAAATTATTTGGCATCTTCCAATTTTTTAGGACAAATGCAAAAGTAATATTTTTAGAAAAGTAATATAATCCTTATATATCCGATATCTGGAAGTTCCTTGGGACTCTTGGTATCGGTAAGTCGCGTTTTCCAAACCTTCCTACCTCAATCAAATTAGATGATTTAAATCAACATTTCTCCACCACTTCATCGATCGATCATCTAACGATCTGTAGCACGATTTCCTTTATAAATGGTTTGACGCGCCCTGATATTGGTTCATTTAATTTTTCTCCAGTTTCTTCTGACGAAATCAAAAAAACTATCCTTTCCATCAAATCAAATGCACTTGGATGCGATAAAATTGGCAGACGCATGATAGTCCCTATCCTTGATCACCTTCTTCCTGCGATCACCCACATCATAAATTTTGCATTGGATACTGGATCTTTCCCTTCCTTATGGTGTAATGCACTGAGCGTCCACTGCCGAAATGTCCTAATCCTTCTCTTCTCGCTCATTATCGACCTATCTCTATATTACCCTTCCTTTCTAAGGTGCTCGAGTCCTGCGTTCTTAAGCAATTTTCTCACTTTGTCCTTAGTAACAAATTGATAAGCCCCTTACAATCCGGTTTTAGACCTGGCCACAGTACCACCACCGCTCTCCTTAAAGTGACTGACGATATTAGGGCAGGTATGGAAAATACCCGTTAAATAATAGTTACTGTTTTGGTTTTAATCGATTTTTCGAATGCCTTTAATACCGTCAGTCACGGCATCCTATAAGCAATCCTGTCCTATCTAAGGGTTTCCGATGAAGCACTGGAATGGTTTTCGTCTTATCTTCGAGGGCGCCGGCAGGCAGTTAGTATTGGTGAATTGTCATCAAAATCAAAAACAAAATCAAAATCAAAATCAAATATATTTATTCAACATAGGAGCATTACACTCACTTATTGATAGTCAAAACACTACCACCGGTTCGGAAAAGAAAGCCACTGTACTGAGAAGAACCGGCGAAAGAAACTCAGCGGGCTTTTTTTTTTTAAATAAGCAGTTTGACATAAATTCGTTAAAATACAATATAAGAACTCCGATTGAAAGAGCCTGGAGCGATCAGTTCATTACCAGAGTGTGTTATCATTTAAATAATCATTAATATTATAGTAGCCTTTAACACACAAACGTTCTTTTACTATTTTTTTTAAATTTAGCTATTGATGCATTTTGAACGTTTTCTGGAATTTTGTTGTAATAACGTATACATTGTCCCATAAAAGATTTACTTATTTTACGGAGTCTACTTGTGGGTAGGATCAATTTATTTTTGTTCCTAGTATTTATATCATGAACATTATTATGTCTTAAAAATTTATCCTTATTTTTATGGACATACAAAACATTTTCAAAAATGTATTGAGCAGCACAGTCAATACCTTTATCTCTTTAAACAAGTTTCTTAACGATTCTTTGGGGCCCAGATTGTAAACTGCACGAATAGCTCTCTTTTGTAAGATAAAGATTGTATTAATGTCGGCCGCGTTACCCCAAAGCAGAATGCCATAAGACATTATACTGTGAAAATAACTAAAATATACCAAGCGAGCCGTATCTACATCAGTTAACTGTCTTATTTTTTTGACCGCGAAAGCTGCTGAGCTAAGTCTACTCGCCAGTCTATTAATATGGGGGCCCCATTACAGTTTGGCATCAATAGTTATGCCAAGGAATACAGTTGAGTCAATAGGGTCCAACGCTTCCCCATATAAAAGTACATCAGTTTTTACATGTTTAACATTGGAGGAAGTTGTAAATTTAATACATTTAGTTTTTTTATTATTCAACAGTAAATTGTTAGTACTAAACCAATGTACTACAGTAGATAGAGTATTTTTTACATCGTCATAACTTAAAGAACGTCGGTTTACTTTAAAGATTAAAGAGGTATCATCCGCAAACAATACTATCTCATGATTATTATTAACAAGAAAAGGTAGATCATTTATGTAAATGAGGAAGAGAAAAGGCCCAAGAATAGATCCCTGCGGGACCCCATATTTACCAAGGCCCCGGGAGATCTCCTGTCATTCACGTCAACTCTCTGAATTCGATGGCTCAAGTACGATATCGGAAGATTGAGTGCGGCATCTCTTATACCATAGTGGCGTAGTTTCCTGACCAAGGTCTCATGCTGTACACAATCGAAAGCTTTGGTTAAGTCACAGAATATTCCTAAGGCATCTTGCGACTTTTCCCAGGCTTCAAAAATATTCATAACGAGCTGAACACCCGCATCAGTTGCGACCCCTAGTAAACCCATATTGCTTGTTATGTAATAAATTATGAGAGCTAAAATGCTGTAACATTTGATTCAACATGATTTTTTTCAAAAATTTTACTAAGAGTTGGCAGTACAGAGATAGGTCTAAAATTATTGGTGTCGGAAGTACTACCAGATTTAAACACCGGAATGATTTTACTATGTTTCATAAGGTCAGGAAATTCGCCACGATTGATACAAATATTAAAAATAGTTGCTAGGTAAGGTGATATTACATCAATAATAGAACTGATCACCTTAACCGAGATCCCCCATAGATCTGCAGTTCTTTTAACATCTAAAGTTTTAGAAGCTGGCTTAATCTGGCAAGTGGTGTCCCTCAAGGCGGTATTCTCTCTCCTATCCTATTTTCAGTTTTTATTAATCTCATTACTCATGCCTTGCCACCTTCAATGTGCGTATCATCTGTATGCCGATGATAAGCTCCCAGAAATAATCGAGTCTATAAACAAGGCCTTAGTTGCCATCAAAAAGTGGTCTGATAGGTTTGGCTTAGCCGTCAATCCAACAAAGTGCCAAGGCATCATAGTCGGGAGCTCCCGTATTATAAGTAAAGTGGACTTGTGTGATCTCCCGCAAATTATTTTCAACGGTTCTTGTATTCCAATCAGCCGTAATGTGAAAAACCTCGGTGTGTACCTTGACATGACGCTCAGCTGGAATGCTCAAGTAAATAGTGTTTGCCATAAAGTCTCAGGTGCCCTACGATGTTTATACCGCCTCAAAAATTTCTTGCCGACAAAAACCAAGGTATTGCTCGTGCAGGCCTTAATTTTCCCTGTAATTGACTATGGTGACGTGTGCTACTTTGACCTGAATGCAGATCTCCTCAATAAACTTGACCGACTTCTGAATAACTGCATTCGATTCGTTTTCAATCTCCGCAAGTATGACCATGTATCCTCTTACCGTGAACAACTTCAATGGCTACCTATACGTCAACGACGTTCCCTAAGAGCACTGACTACACTTTATTCTTTCCTGAACTCTCCTTTTACTCCGACTTACTTATCCCATCATTTTCAGTATCTATGTGCAGTCAGCAACAAAAACCTTCGCTCTTCGCAAAATCGACTTCTTGAATGTCCTTCTCACCGTTCTGACTTCATGCACTCTTGTTTCTTTATCCAGTCTATTCTTCTGTGGAATGCGCTTCCTCTCGAAATCAGGTTGGCTAAAAGTCGCTCTGTATTTAAAAACAAAGCTCGTGAGCATTTATTAAAAAACTTGTCTCGGTAGATCAATTCCATCGTTTTGTATTAGAGTATATTTATAGGTGTATGTAGTATATCTCATATGTTGTATATAATTTAGTACTGTATTTAACTTATGCAGATACATTACATAGTTTGTAAATATTAGCGTTTTCCTTGTTGGATATCTCTCTGTGCACCTACCTAATTTTCTCTGTACCACCCGAAGGTTGACTGGGAGATAATACTTTTAGCATTAAGTCCGCCATTGTACTATTTGTGCATAAAGGGTAAATAAATCCTTCAAAACTTCCTAAATTGTATCAACTTATATACATACTGCGTCTCTTCCAAAATATCTGAATTAATTGCGAAATAACTTTACATTACACCCATTACAACCGAGTTTTCGATTAGGACACAGGACTAATATAGCTTTAGTTGACGGAACTCACTGGCTAGTTAACTTAGTAACTACTGTGCTAGACTTCAGTAACGCTTTAACACAGTTGATTATGAGGTTGGACTTGGAAAAATGGGATTAAGAATCTGGAGATTTTCGTGATGGATAACATCAATTGCAAATAATTCAGGAAAAGGAGAGTACCTACGTTATTACACACACACGCACACACACATATACTGTCGTTGGAAAGATAGACACTTCGAGCGATAAGATGTAGTTTTATATATATATATATATATATATATAATTATATATATATATATATATATATATATATATATATATATATATTGATTTATTATACATAAGAAAGAATAGCATGATCAGCATATTCAATACGTGGATATTATTATGGAGCCAGACATACACAATGGAATGGTGAATAAACTAAACATAAGAGAATATCGAATAAGACTTTACAGCACCACAGTTACCCGTCAACTATACATGCCAACAAATAACTTTCACGACTTTAAATGACGAAAAGATAAGAAATAGAGAATTTAAATGTATTAAGACAAGGAGAGGAACATGATGTTGTTAACGTGTGAGAATGAAACTTTATGATGTTAGATTGGTGGTCGACGGAGCTTTACAAAATCCCTAGAACATACGACACCATCATTCTATTAAAATCACATTTATTTTATACCTATTATCTTTAGCATGGGATAAAAATTATTTTCTCTTGGCTCACAAAGGAATTAAAATTCAGGATGCTCAAACATGCATGTGTATTAGGAGAATTAGAAACACGATTACCCTATAGCTCTTGTACTTCTACTACACTAATTTTGAAATCCAGCAACGAGCATATATCAGTCAGTCCGGATTTTCTCCGAAATAAGAGAGTTATTTCGGAGAAAATCCGGGCTACCGGCAGCTTTTTATGATTTATTTTTTCCGATCTACGCAGAATGAGTTGGAGTTTGTATCTTACGTAATTTGATTTAAATTTTTATATCGCAGGATACCAAGCTTACAAATTAAAAATTAGATATTCCTTTTTTTTATCATACATTTCTCGAAATCTCGTGACACGAGAATAAAAATACAGCGTGTCGTTACACCCGCGACAATAAATGAGAACACACGTCTAACGCTACTTGCCAATAATCATGAAAAAATATAAAACGTTAAAAAAATCCATAATAAAAAAAATATATTTTTCAAAAAAACTAATTAAATAAAACAAATTGTAACATCCTATACAACTACAATTGACTGATTCATACATTCAGAGACGTTTTCATTCGTTGCCACAAGTTCGCAATACAAGTCTCTCCTTCTAACTGTAAGTTTTATCTCTTTTAAATTCACTCAACCCATTCATATGCTTTGTGACCTTTACAAATGAAATTTACGTTACAGTTATATACCTAAGGTGTTTTAAAAATGTTTGTTTTGTAAAATTTAATAACTCGGTAAATATTGATGTTTAAAGAATTTAAATGTTTAATACAATTTTAAAAAGTTATCCTCTATATGTGCGTTCATTTATTTTCGCGGTTGTAACGACACGCTGTATTAGACTAACAATTTTTCTATCTTTAATAGCTCTTTTGTTACCAGGGTTATAAATACCAGGGTGACACTAAAAGTTTTTAGAACTAGCCAGTTAGAAACATTGCCAATGAAAATTTCTTTTAAATTTTTAATGTAGAACTCTTTGGTAATGTTATGTGATTTATTGCAATAATTTGTCATTTGGTACACTTCAAAATGAATGATCGAAAATTGTATTTCCATGATATACTAGGACTCTCCTTGTGGTCTTACTTAACAACAAAGCTATCATATATTTCGATTGACATTTAATACTGAAGTCTCGATTGATATTTAATCCTGTACCACTGTTAACAATTAAGTACATGGCGGACCGAGCTTTGCTCGGTTTGTTTTTTTTTTTTGGTAAATCGTGTATTTTGGAAAAGATACAAATTACTGAATAATGAAATATGCATAATATTTTTCGATCTTACCTACGTAATAATAAGAAAATATGAACTGATGTTTTTCACAAAAGAAAGAACTTTAAAAAAAAGGGAAAAAAATAACAAAATAACATCGACAAAAAATTAAAAGTAAAGAAAGCAATGATCTGGAATCAAAAAAAAGTAAAAAAATAAATGTGTAAATGATCGTGACGTGAACCACGGCCGTCTGTTTTGGGGCCGCCCGATTACCGACCGAGCTATTATGACATTTTCTCTTGCGGCGAAATTTACCGTCATATTCGAATTATATTTTTCATTCCCTGAAAACAGGGATAAAAGGACATTTTCTAAAAATGAAACTTAGCTAGATCGATTTTTCGCCCCCGAATCTATGCACATACTAAATTTCATGAAAATCGCTGGAGTCGTTTCCGAGATTCCGAATATTTATATATATATATACAAGAATTGCTCGTTTAAAGGATAAGATTTAATGAGTTAAAGTGTGGGCCTAGAAATCTCAGTGATGATCTGCGGAAGGGACATCCTTCAACATGGATCACAGGTGCTCAGGCGTACAGAGTCACAGGTGATGAAAGCTGGATATATAACCCGAAACCAAAAGACAATCTAATCGTTTTGTTTGCGGACTTTAAGCAAATAAACGTCTTAACGCTCCCGTCGCTATACATACTCAAAAACATCATGTACTCGTATGTACGAAATAACATACACCTTTTAACAAAAAAACATACGACATCGCGTCGGACCTGTGGTGACACGCTGGAAATACCAAGGTTTAGAGTAGCTATAGATGTATTGTTATATAATACAATAGGCGACATACACAAACAATTAATGGTTAATGGAAAGGGCCTATTATAATGTCGTGGAATCCTATTAGAATGAGTGGGTGGAAGATGTGTGGAAATGACACTTGCTCTGCACTTGCATGTCCCCTGGCTCCTGCTAATTTTATTTAATTTAAATAATTTTTTGTATGTACTTAATAATCAAAGATAAACTGCTACTGTGTTCGATAATGGCGTAGAAGAGACTCCTAACGAAGGGTCCATCGAATGTGAAGATGTATAAAGAGGAACGAAGACTTCGAACAACGATGCAAAAGTATTCTCAACTTTCTACATTGAGCAGTTTTATGATTTTCTAAGAACAACGAAATAATGAAAATGCATCGGGCATTGTCTCTGAATTTCTAGTCTAGTTATTTCTTACCTACTAAATATTAAGAGTTAAATAAATAAAACATACAAATTAGACGGAGATCTATCGATTCCATTTAATAATGTCATTGGTTACATCATACAAATAAGGTCAAGTAAGGACATATACAAAATTCATTAAATAGTCAAAGGTATCGGGTCCTTTAAGTTGTTATCACAGTCCATGCATCTTATGAGGTACGGTGTGCAAATTATTCGTGACTTCGATTCAGTATCGGTAGGCATTGCGACCGCCATTGGAGCCGTCGTCACTGCAATAAAAAGAATTTAAAAGAAATTTAAACCCTGCTTTACTTTAACTGAAGTTTTTGGCTTCAGTCCATAGACTATTAAAGGTCCAATGAACTTGGGACTCGAATGGAGACCACATCTCGGAAAACATAGTGTCGAACATCCCCCTGCCAGGTGGACCGATGACCTGAGTCGCTGGTAGTGGCTGGATGAGGAAAGCGGAGGATCGTGCGCTGTGTTGTGCTCTTGGGGAGGCCTATGTCCAGCAGTGGACTGCAGAAGGCTGAATGATTTCTATCAGGTGAAACGTCTGCTCGTATTTCTCCTTTTCCTATTATTTATTTATTTATTTAATTTAATTTATAGGGGAAACCAGCAGTCACGATGATGACTAGTCACACAGTGATACAGAAATGACCGGAATTGAAAAGCTAGACTCTGATTAAAATATTTTCTTTCATGATTTAAATACAAAAAAATATATGTTTTTCTCACCCTATCTTACTGGTTTTGTTTGATAACTATATCGTCACAAGATATCGTGAGGTCAGACCTATTCTTAAATCACATTGTACGCATACGCATAAAACGTCAACGTGCTATTTGATTCGGACATCCGTGAAATAAACGTAGTTGCAGTTATAATTCACTAACAATTTGGAGGTCCACCGGTTCTGCGTTTGATTAAGCTTAATAGTCTAAGGACTGAAGGCGTAACATCAGTTATACAAGAAAAAAAGGATGACCTAACGCGAAAATAATAAGTCTCATACACGTTGACAACATTTAGACAGAAGTTTAGTTAAATCATGCCATTGTAAGACGTGATAGTAACATTCTTAAATTGCACGAAACTGATACCATCGTAACCACACCTCCATCACAGTTCCTGTAGCACACTCACGATTCTATATCGGCACAATAATGACGTCTCAATATTACTCTTCGCCTGGTGGGAACAAAATGAACATTCGCAAAACCTAATACGTAATCGTGATTAATGGAATGTGTTTTATATTGTGTGTGCAATAATCTTTCGTATGCATAAGTACCAAAGAACATCTTCGTTTACAATGCATGCATCAATTAAACGTAAGAATATTTTTTAGTCCCACCGCTCCTCTCTCCTGTTATTTATAAGTGGATATGCTTAACTGAAACTTGTTATTACAATTACAACCGTTATAAGTTTTTACATTCTTTTGGTATATGCAATTACATATCTATCCATATTTTAATACCGTGATATCGGCCGGCTAGCTTAATTGGCTAGGACGTCTAGGCACGTTACCCAGGTGACGTCTGTTCGTTTTATTGATTTTTCAATCAATAAAACTCACATTTAAATTCCATTTTGAGTGCGTATTATTACTAGACATAAAAGAGTGTGTACTAAAAACGCACGTTAGTACTTAGCGGGAGAAAAGAAAAATAAGAAAAAATTTTATCCCACGTGCCAGCAACTCTTTGATTGTGAAAAAAAGACATTAATCGATAACGGTATAATTAAATATCAAAGAGTTGTTATTGGGTGCCACGGCAGTTGGAGTCGCGCATCGCAAAAATTCACTCTCCAACATCGCAAGCGCGCCAAAAGAAGTGTAACTTCAAAAAAAACCGAAACAAAACCACCTACGAGGAAGGGTGCTGTCTATTATACTCGATGGAGCGCAGTATCGCTTCGGGGATCGGCGGCGGTGTCGGCAGGTGGGAGCCGACGGGGTGGAAGCCGTTCTCGTCTGCTGTGTACGTGAGCGAGATCTGTTGCCCGTCGACGGTGCGAAAAGAGAAGCCGCCCTCGGCGGTCACGGCTGGCCCTTCGGGGCCGGGTGCCCTCGGTGCCCCGCTTTCGTGCGCCGATATGCCGGTAGGAGTGTCGTAGCTGTTAACACGGCGATTTTAAGTCCAGTTGTGGGAAAACGCTACTTCTGTTTTATCATTTCATTATTTATCCACTCCTGTGGTTAGAAAAAATAACAATATTATTTATTGACGGTTCGTTAAAGTTGGGGCGCTTAAGTTATTACCAATTTGTAAATTACCGTTGGCTTCATAAAATTACGATAATGTATGTAAAAACTTCTTAGAAATGCGCAATTGCAACAACATGTACTGCGGCTCATTAAGCTTTACCAGCACATTAAAAACTATAAAATTTTTGCTAAACTATCCTTAAGCTTTCTTTTTTTTTTTTTTTTTTTTTTATGTGAAAAGTTGCCAAACGAGCAGACGGTTCACCTGATGGAAGTGAATACCGCCGCCCATGGACATCTGCTACACCCGAGGGTTACAGATGTGTTGACAACCTTTTGAAAATTGGGCTCCGGCTACCTCACTCACCAGACGAAACGCGAAAGTATTTGTCATACTTCCACTTTACGCTGGTCTTCTGTGAGGTCGTGGTACTTACCCGGACGGGCCTGCCCATTCGTGCAACAGCCGAGGCTGCTGCGTGGCCCTACTACCGTTAAACTACTTCTACACTTGGGTTAGACAGATTTTAATACTTTACTGTTAATTTTTTTTAATCAAAGAATGTAACAAATTTCACCAAATGCACTTTTTATTAGTTGATAAAAATTGCATAAGCCCACCCGCAAACTCTAAGCTGCAAAATTTTATAACGGGAACAAATTAAATAATTCATGTCGTTGTCAACTCGCTGGGAAAATGTGGTTGAGAAACAAAAGGTCACTGCAATATACCTTAATTTAGTTCATAACTTAAGTGGATACATTATAAAATTAGATCATTTGCCTCACATTTCATAAAGAAAAGCTTTCAAGCTGTGCTCAATAGATTTTACAGAACTTTTACAACAGGATAGTAAAATTCAGAAGTAAGGAGACATTCTAACAGAAGTGATTTGAAGTCCGTGCTTACAACAACATTACAACTAGTGTCTGCAAGAGTATTTCTCCTTGTTAACCAACAGTTTACCAAGCTGTTTGAATTTAAATCAATAAAACTAACCTTTCCTTCGAAACAAAAGGTCTTACTGCTCCCACAAAACTTGCACTCGGTATGCTGAGCATAGGTGTAATAAATGGTAATTGCGAACCTATAGTGATAACTCCCGTCACCATTGTTGACATTCTCGTAATGGAAAGGTGTTCCGGAGCCGCCGAAGCCCCCCTGCTGCGTGAGATGTTCTAAGCGACCCGCGGAGACCACGCCCATCACGACCAATGCTGCCAGAAACTTCTGGAACATATGATTGAATTTCTAACATCCGTAAACCCCTTCAAACAATTCAAAAATTTACATTCGTTATTGCCATATTAATTTTTTTCAAAATATCTTTAAGAATTTTAATTCAGTAAGGGCCATTAACCTAAGTAGCCATTCTTAATTCTGTAAAAAAACTTTTGATTAAGCTAATACTGTGTTCGTTTTGTTTATATTAATGTAAAATTTTTGAACACAAGAAACTTTCGCATAAATTCAAACATAGCCCATAGTTCATAATCTTTTTTTAATTAACAGATTGAAACTCTGTTGTTATTAATAGAAAATACAGATTCTAATGTTTTCAGTTGGAAATGTCCGCTTAACAAATAAATAGTTGAAACTGTCTTGAAAAACTTAATTATACATAAAGCAGTACTAAAGCAGGCCTAAACCAGAATCATAGTTATAAAATTTAGATACAAGCTTCGATTACAAGTAATATTTTTGTTAATCCTATGTTTAAACATTTCTTATTCGGCAATTTCATAATATTAGTAAACTACTGATAAGTCTATAGTTTTATATGAACCGCGGAACACACAGCTTCGGAGTACTAAAATTTAGCAGCTAAAATAAATTAAGAAGCTACATTATTGAGCAATTTCAAAATGTTATTAAACTACTGATAAATCTATACTTTAAACCGTGGGTGTCTTTAGCTAATAATATTTCTGCATGCAAATTGTTCAAACAATTTGTACCGTGATAAATGTTGATATTGCAATGCGTAATTGAATCATTGAGTAGTTTTCATTACGCGAAACGAGCTCGGGATCAATTTGTCATTACAAAAGGGTAATTTAAACAAATTGGCGGAGCCGGCAATTTAAAGCCAAGGTCTACGGATCGGATCTTACCATTTTAGATAAGCGGAGGGTGTCGTCAGAAGTTTTGTTACAGCTCGCTCGAACTCCGACACCTGAATACACTGCGGAGGGATGTTCACGTCTTATATCCGTCGAGTTTGCCCTTTCGGCAGTTGCCTCACCTTGCGTGTATTATAGATCTATTCGGAGATGAATGGCTCAAGTGAGACACGATTAGCAAATTCGCAATTCTGGATTATATTGTAAAGGCGATAACCAGTGACGCTAATCACGGAGGCAAGAATTATAAGATTTTCGAACAACTTAATTGAAAAAACACCGTCTGTAATCTGTGGGTAGGCAGGCTTTTACTGAGCTGGTGCGTTTACCTCCATCAGCTGTTATAGCTGTTAGGTACTAGTAGGAGATTACAGTAAAACCTTTTTTTTGCCACATAATTATTCATTGATTAATACAAAAGGGTGAATAATTTATAACGTCGATAGTGCTATAATTAAAAGTGTAATAAATGACGCGATATCTTTTCGTCAAATTTTAATTTCTCACAAGAATTTACAGCAATACAAACAAAAGTGGCCTATGTAACTTCAAATTTAGATGTAAGGGAAATTAAGAAACAAGTAAACAGTTTATAACTTAAACGCTCAAATCACGGACGAAAGATGCCCCGTCGCGCTCCGCCCATAGCCGTACAAGGTGAGACCATTAAATAACTGGGTGTATTACATATTTTAGAACTAAGTTCTAAATCTGTATAATTCAAATGTTTTTCAAATATAATTCAAAAGTTATACTTGTTTAGGGCGTTGAGAAAAAAATTGTAGAGTAAAATTTTTACAATGAGTACACCGTCAGAAAAAAAAGGGACACGATGAATTGCAAGGCGATCAACCTCGACCAACTTCACGGTATTACCATGGCAACCAATGACATTTGGACATACTAATTCAAAATTATTTTATTTAACCGTTTTATTTCAAAGCCTTGTAGTGGTTTTGTGCTTGAGTATAAAACTATTTTTGTTAAACATAATCTCGATCTTACGATAATTTAGATTGATTGATGTAATGATTTCAGTCTGGAGGTTTCCAACCTCGTTGGTTGCTGTTGCAACCTTGTTGGTTGGTTCTGCTCCTCAGAACCCGTGGAAAGACAATATCCCATGATATTTAAAGTTTGTCGGCCATTAAGTCTCAGAAAGGGCTCAATTTTTCGCGTATTATACACATGGTATAGTGCATAATAAGTTGTTTTTTGTTAATTGTCTCCCTATGCCGATCCCTCTAAAAAAGTACATATATGTCTGCTATAGACTACAAGTTGCTTGAAAATTATACTATATGATGAAAATTGTTGACATTATTGAAATTATATTGTTAATTGTTGTAAAAATTACGTGTAAATAAAAAAAATTATGTGTCTACTTATACAGGGAGGCTTTTTTAATTGTATCCATTTTTCTTTATTAAAGTCTACGCATAAATAATGTTATATAAAAAAGATAAATATTTAAAATCAATCATAATTAATTAAATACATTCATTTGCACTTATCTAAAAAAATGCGTGATTTATGGGCAACTTATATATTTTACGCGCGATCATTCATAACTAACACAAGTTCGCTTCAAAAGTATACGACGCATTTATGACTACCGCATTGTCAACAAGTTCTGTTTTTAGGGGAAAAAAAACTTCGTTTTTATTTCATTAAACGATTATACTACTGAGTCTGAACCTCCCGTGTGAATTTGGGCACCTTTAGAAAAGCCACCCTTTATACCCACGTAAGAAGTTATACTTTTTTAGCGTAAAGACATTAAATGCAATTAAAAACGTCTTATTTAAATAACTTGGAATTATTGGTAAATGAGAAAAGGTTGTTATTGGTTGCCAAGATTAAATTGGTTATATGATTGATAACATGTCGTTTTTTGAGGATCGGTGTGAGCGCGAATCGTAAAAATTTTACTCCAATAATTTTTCCAAAAGCGCCAAAAGAAGTATAACTTCAAAAAGTTGTGACACATACGTAAGTCCACCGCTTCTTTCTGGCTCTCAGGGCTCATCTAAATTTTTGAACGGTTTTTAAATATTGGTAAAAAAACAAAGAAATTTGAACAGAAACTTGGGCCTGAATCTTATATTGTTACTTTTATTAGATCTTTATATGAACTTTAGATCCATCTTCTATTGAACTTTATTTTCAAAGCAAAATTCAAAAACTTTCAGCTTTCGAGCAAAAGTAAGTGTGATATTCTAAACGAAATATAAAATATTCCCATTCTCTAAGAGCTTTCTGGTACAGAGTTGGAAAACTGGAGACTAGAAATATTCTTTAGTATTTTAGTACGTTATGCAAAATAAAATAGGCTGTTGAAAGACAATGCCAGGAATAAATGTTACTTAAATCAGCACAAGCAAGCAAATACACCTTGAAATTCCTAAATAACATATAGCTCACAAAAGGTAAAACAATCACAAAGGAACGTTTACCTCTAGCGGGTCGCGAATACTTACGGAGTCAGAAATCGAGATCTGAATTCCAAATGTAACATTTATGCGTTATCCGTGCCAGCGCCGATTAGATTTTAGACAGTTCAACATTCAAAGAACGATTGTTTCTGTTTGAGATAACAAACGGTTGGAGAGAAATCGCGCGCCTATTAGAAAAATAACATGTTTTACGTTCAAATTTCTCGTTCCAGGAGCATCACTAAATTAAACAGAATGCACAAGATTCTCTCTCTCTCTCTCGCACAAGATTATCACTGAGAAATCAGTGACAGAAAATAATTACTTCAAAAACTTATGAGTATATTCAGCGTATATTCTATACAATTCTATCTGATCTTTCCTTCTTAGAAATTCCAATATATGAGAAGAAGTATAAATCAAAGAAACAATAAGTTACTGAAGCTTAAAAATATTTGGACTTGGAATTGTATTTTGCATAACTGATGTTACGCTTTCAGTCCTTAGACTATTAAAGCTTCATCGAACGCAGAACCGGTGGGCTATCCAGAACCCACGGGTTTGAGTCCTCAGCTGTGGGTAGGGCCGCGCATGTGCTCATGCGTGCGTTTAACTATGGTGTGTCATCTAAGGGCCATCGAGGTTGCGTTTCGGACCGGGACCCTGATGGCCATCGACTGTGTTTTTAGCTAATCGGTGACTGGGGGCGGTGAGAACCGCCCTGGAACGCAGGACGAACTTATTTTGAATTATTTTCAACTTGTACAAGCGAGTAGGGTGCGTGTGGGCGAAGTTCATGCATGCGTAGGACATAATAGGTCGTACGCAGGTCTTATATAATAATAATTTGTGCCTTAAGAGCATTTTACTTTTAGCGTTAGTTAAATTGTGTAGCCGGCCGGAGACGTACGCGGCTCTATTACGAACGTTATTAATAAATAGATGTATGCCCCAACTTTCTGCGTTGACGAGGGCCTTTATAAAGATGTGACGGGTAAGTACTTCGTGTGAAGTGAATCGCCACACTATTACTTCTATTCACCACGGGATTTACTTCTATTCTCCATTTGCGGAGCCAATCGCCGAGGTGGTCGGCGGCGCTTTGGAGACAAGTAGTGAGTTGATTAATATTTTTATTTCTGTAAAAGAGCGCCGTGTCATCCGCGAAAAGTTGGAGATTGACTTGCGGGTCTCTTGGTATGTCGCTCGTGTAGAGCGTAAAAGGCAAGGGCGAGAGGCAGGAGCCTTGTGGAACGTCAGCCGTGAGGCGGCGGCTTGTAGAGAGGGTGGGGCCTCAACTCGATATCGAAAAGAGCGATTCGACAGGAAGGCCCGAATGGCGTGCACGAGCCTATCTGGCACGTTGAGTGCGAACAGCTTGTAAACAAGCCGTTCTGCCAGACATTGACAAATGCTTTTGGGACGTCGAAGAAAAGAGCTCCCGTGGTTATATGTTTGGTATGATTTAGGCCTTTGAATACTTGGAATATATTTTGTTATGGAGTAGATTTATGTCAGTCTCTACATTAACAATTTTTAAATCAATGAAGTACTGGAATGACGTATAGAATGATACATTTAGAGCCACCTTGAAGTCTTACAAAGTCAAGAAAAGTTATTTAATATTAAGTTGGAATACTTCAGACAATAGTACGTCATAAACAATAAACATACATATAATTAGAAAATCTTATCCATTTTCCTTTACACGACTCATAAAGCAATATATTAATTCAATCCTTTATCCTGTCTTCACAATGTCTTTTAAGGGTAGAACTTGCCACTCTTCAACACGTACCGTATCTTTATAGACAATATAAAAATAATCTTGAAATTTATATAAACGATTAAAATTTATATAAATATAAATAATAAGCATTTACTCAAAATATATAATCGGAATCTCTGAAACGGCTCCAGCGATTTTCATGAAGTTTAGTATGTGCGTAGATTCGGGGGCGAAAAATCGATCTAGGTTTAATTTTTAGAAAATGTCCTTTTATCCCTGTTTTAAGAGAATGTAAAACCTCATTCGAATATGACGGTAAATTGAGCCGATGTTATAATAGCTCGGTCGTTAATCATGTACAACTTTCCGTACGCCTTCTTCTATCAGCCGTCATCTCTGATCTCTTTAGACAGTCCATTCAAAACTTTCTCCGTCTTTTTTTAGCTTTACACCCTCCAACCACATTCATACTCTTCAGTCACATGACTTTCATCCCTTCTCATAATGTGTCAATATCATATCAACCTACCACTTCTTATTTTCACAGTCACTGGTGCCACTTTCAAGCTTTCCCTCACAATGATAAGTTTGGGGAATCCAAAAGTGCACGCCTCATACCACTTACATATTTTTTTAGACAAAGAATCAAGTCGCAGCATTGACATTTTTGTATTATTTAGACAATTTAACAAAATATACTTTAATCGTAGATTCAAATATATCAAGCTATTTTCATCATAGATAAGAAAAATGATAAAAAACCATTTTATTAACAAACTACGTTGTTCTATGCATCTCTCATATTATTGGCCAATTGATTGTGGTAGAGG